GGTGCAGTGCTATATCGGGGGGCCCAAAAAGGGGCCCTTACTTTAGAGAGCTACCCATGTCTTATCAAGGCGGAGCCCCTGGAACCTATAAGTTGCAGCTTTCCAGCTTTAAACCTAAACCCTACACTTCCTCAACCCGAAACCTTTAAACCCTGAGCCCTAAACTTCCAGGCCAGGATCTCGAAGCCCAAGACTCCCCGAGACCCCCCAGAGGTGTACAGAAGGACCCTAAACCCCCAAATGCTCATCAGAATCCTTAAATGAGGGTTTAGGGTTTCGGGGTTTAGGGTTTCGGGGTTTAGGGTTTAGGGGTTTAGGGGTTTACGGGTTTAGGGGTGTAGGGTTTTGGGTTCTTCAAGCCGTCCTACGTAAAGCTATGTCATCTGAAGCCCGAAACCCAAGAAGCGTAAATCCGAAAACCAAAAACCCAGAACCAAGTATCCTGAGAACCCTCATGCATCCTAAATCCCAGAACCTAAACCCTAAACCCTAAACCCCTCAACCCCTCAACCCCTAAACCCCTAAACCCCTAAACCCCTAAACCCCTAAACCCCAAACCGCTGGGACGACCGAGCCGGCTGCTGTTCACAAGGCCCTCACGAACCTTGTCTGGATCCGCATCCCCACGCTCGACTCTATCAAGGTGGGCTCAGGAGTTCCTAGAAGGGGTGCTGTACGGGGCATGATAAGGGTTTGGGTTTAGGATTTAGGGTTTAGGGTTTAGGGGTTTAGGGTTTAGAGGGTTTAGGGTTTAGGGTTTAGGTTTATGATCTATGTGTAGGGTCTATGGTTTGACGGTTTTGGCGCAATGCAAAGCAGCGGCCTTAACAATTAGGATAGGATTTTGGGGTACATTCTACTTTCAGTACATGGGGACTATGATGGAGTGTCGTCACAGATTTTTCAGACCCTACAATACAAGGTTATTCGGATCAGTATGACGCCACCAGCACTTAGTATTCCTATAAGGGCGGCATAGGGCTAAACCCTAAGCCCCAAACGTTCTTGGGTTCTACAATGGTGCCATATGGGGCTTTCGAGGGTTAGAGCTGAGCGGCGGTTTAGGGATTGGGGCCTTTAGGGTTTAGGGTTTAGAGTTTCGAGTTTAAGGGTTTATCGTTTTCGTTGAAATTTGCAGTGGGATGCGATGCCTGGTAGGGGAGCCAGGAGACTTCGGAGATGTCGGCGGTTCTTCCTTGCTTCAATCTCAGGCTATCAGAGGTTTGTCATTGAAGATTCCCGGAATCTGAACTCTCAGATGCTTCATGAACCCTAAACCCCTAAACCCTAAACCCTAAATCCTACACCAAAGGTCATGGGGAGTTGAAGTTGGACTCAGTCAGTTTAGGATTTAGGGTTTAGGGTTTAAGGTTTAGGGTTTAGGGTTCGGAGCTTCGTCTGAAGGCTGCTTTTCAGGCCAGCGACATGCCTTTTGCAGATTTCGGGATCGAACTATGGGGTGTAGTATAGTGGCCTTAATAATTAGAATAGGGTTCAGGGGCCCATTATACTATCATCATAAGAAGGAACCCCAAAACAGTATTGGTAATTTATTGAGGCCCCTACATTAGGTATTTAGGATTCGGTTTCTTGATTTCGGGATGTGGAGTTTGGGGATGTGGGCGCCCCAAACTTCCTAAGCCCCAAAGCCGAAAACCCCAATCCCTAAACCCTATAGACCCTAAACCCCCCTCAACCCCCCTAAACCCTA